TGGAGGGGGTGAAGTCACAACTAATGGAGGTGGAGCGCACTGTATGGGGGAAGGGCACGCTTGTGGCCCTGGCTTGGGCGGGGCAAACGCATTACGTGTAAACAAAATGTTTGTACCGCTGTAATATCCTGAATACATTTAAAAAAATTATAATAGTGAAAAGTCTGGAAAATCACTTAATATACAATATTAAGAAAATAAGAAAATCATGGTATATTAATTTGATTAAATGTTATGTATCCCTTAAAACTGATAACTGTGAAGACTACATAGCAATATAGGTTAATATGTATAAAACATAATTAAGTGGAAAGAATAGAACATGAAGTTCTATATAAGTTATGATTACAACTATGTACATACACAAAAAGATAAATTTCTATGTTTGTATGGAACGTAGGAAAATGAAAATAGCTGTATAAGTATGGTGAATTATGGGTGTTCTCTTTTAAATTTTTAAAAATTGTTGTTTTAATAACTTTTAAAATGGATTTTCAATTTTCTAGTGTAGTTCACCACCCTCTCAGACTCTTCATCCCATGTGTGAAATTTCTAATGTGTAGGAAAAAGAGAGAATATTGATTTCCACTTTATCTAAAGCTTATATTGATCAAGACTGATAGTAAAATGCACTTAGAAGTCAATAGAAAATGTATTGTGTCTTGGTTGCTTCAAAAAGAAACCAATACAATCTTTTGTTTGTTTCTAGAAGTGACGTGGAATAAATAGGATGGAGATATCTCTGTGATTTTTTTGTTTCCTTTTAAATTTTAGGTACAAAATTACGCTGATGCCCTACACTGGTACTGTTATTCTCTGAGGTTTTATTCATCTGATCACACAGATCTGAACTTGGCCAAGTTGCAGAGGAACATGGCTTCCTGTTACCTGCATTTGAAACAACTTGATAAGGTACTTTGATTTATCTATTTTCAGAGGCAATAAATGTTCTTATGTGCAGTGGCAGAGAGAGAGATGCAGTGTTATGACTTCTTGGCTGTTAGTTTAGGATATCTGAGAGTTCCCTCATGCAGAGCAATATGAATATTTTCTTGATTTGCGTACTGTAAACATTGAGTAGAACTTCCCAAAGGGAGAGAGAATTTGGAAGACAATTAGTCCCATTACTTACTATTTATTTTTGCATCCTATTTGGAAAGGTTATATATCATTGGAACTCCTGAGCAAAGTTCTCTGCTACTAACCATCTGCATTATTGTCCTGTGAAGCAGACTGAATTTTAAGGTACACATTTTTATCAAGCGTTCATTGAGAGCAAACACTTGGATGAAGTGGCCTTTCTTTCACTTTCTGGGTTGTTATCTCTTTTCTTCCCAACAGCTCTAGAAAATGTTCAGTGACTGATTTCTTATCAGGACAAAACTCTAGCCGGTAAAAGAGATAAAATCTTGTTTAAGGGTAGAGCCATTTATACTTCCTAAAGCAGCTGGGACATTTCTTCCTTTGGGTATCATGTAGAGTGCACATAATGCAGGTTATTGGCTCTTGGCAGGACATAAAACTAGAAGGATTAGTGCGGACCCAAATGAAATATGAAGATTTTTGTTGCCTTCTAAGTTTTAATGACAGGTTTAGGGAGAAATATGTGATTAAGGGTAGTTTTTCTAAACATTTTTTTAGAAGGTTTGTTTATCTTTGAAAGGTTGTTTATCTGACTCAATACTTTAGATTTTCTTTCAAAAGAATTTTGCTACTTAGCTTGTATGTTATAAATTGATAGTCCTGGAAGAGAAACTGAAATGTTACTGAATTCATCATATTGATATACAGGCTAACATTTAACTGTTCAGAAAGATTGTTGCCTACTATTTAAGACCTGAAAAGATTTTCAAACAGATTTTGTTACCGAATTCATTACATTTCTGCACAGGGTAGCATTAACTATTTCAGAAAGATAGCTGCCTACTGTTTACTTAAAGACCTGTAAAGAAGGTGATCATACAGCTTTTGTAACTTCCGTGATTTATGACACAGTGGGCCTGGCTGATCGAGAAGGATGTGGATCTGGAGCCACTTGGGGAACAGATGCATCTGTAGGCCAAGGAAGGATATCTAATCAGCTAGTCAAGAAAGAAAGAAAGAACACATTACCAGACACTGTGCTAGGCTCTGAGGTTAAAGAGATGCACAAGGCATAGTTGTCTTCAACTCACCCAAGAAGCTGCCATCAGGATATCCTAATGGATAGATAAGCAGAGCATGGCAAAGCAGACCATGGTGTTAGAAATATTCCATAAATCAGGCACATAGTTAATTAGCATCACACAAGCATATCAGCAGGGAACAGAGCTTTAATCACAGAGGTTTGAACTCAGAGATAGTACTCAAATCTTTGAGGTATGGGAGTGTGTGTAGACAGACTAGAAAGAGCAAGGTAGGGCTCCAAACCTAAAAGGACTGGGATATGAGGTTGTTCTTAAGAGCAGAGTCCCTAGACAGGAAGCCAGACTGGGATGCAATTATCAGAAGAGGAATACAAGTTGACTAGATACAATCTTCCCAGACTTGAAGCAGTATTTCTTAAATCTCCTCTAATATTAAGTTTGGTCCTAGAGCCTAGTATAGGACTGGGTCTATATAATTGGGACTTCAGATGGTGTTAGTAGTAGGGAAGAGAAGAACAGGAGAGCAGGAAACCTGGCATATTGTAACAGCATGTATTCAACGTGTAACTGAAAGATTTAAGGCCAGGTTGGTGGTGAAGGCAAAGGTTATTTTGAATATGTTCAAGGTAACCTTCATGATTACTGTTAGTATATTTCTCCATGTCGTCCTTCCTATCTTGGATTTAGCAGACATTGACTGGATACCCTCCATATTTGAGGAATATCCTCCTATACACTAGGACAGATAGAAAGGTGAAAAAATACACGGCCCATCATATTTTACTATTCTCGCCTTGCCAATGTTTAACCTTTGTTAATTTTCATTGTTTGTTTTTTTTTTTTTTTTTTTTGAGACAGAGTCTCACTCTGTTGCTCTGGCTAGAGTGCTGTGGCGTCAGCCTAGCTCACAGCAACCTCAAACTCCTGGGCTCAAGCGATCCTCCTACCTCAGCCTCCCGAGTAGCTGGGACTACAGGCATGTGCCACCATGCCCGGCTAATTTTTTCTATATATATTTTTTAGTTGTCCAGCTAATTTCTATGTTTTTAGTAGAGATGGGGTCTCGCTCTTGCTCAGGCTGGTCTCAAACTCCTGAGCTCAAGCTATCCGCGGCCTCCCAGAGAGCTAGGATTACAGGCCTGAGCCACCACTCCCGGCCTGTTTGCTTTTTTTGACTTGTTCCTTTGAGCTGCTTAAGCACTGTTGGGGAAATTTATTAAACCCTATTTATTGGATCTGCTGAAATTTCATAGTTTTTCAGCTAGGCAGTCAAAAACACTGACTCTTGTTGACTTTCTATCATATTTCCCACAGTGGTGATTCCAAAACATTTTTTTCTGTTTTGCAGAAGCACCAATGCCTTCTCCTTTGTTTTAGCAAAAGATCTTTTCATGTAATTTGCTGAGTTTGTAGCCAATGACATGAACTTCATCAGTTCCTCTCCTCTTCACTCATCCCTTCTTCTCTCTTATCTCTGAGAAATAAGTAACTTTCTCTGGGGACTTTATAGATCTCAACCTTAGCTCTTTAATCTTTCTCTACTGTTTCTTTCTCTTGTCACTACTATTATATTGAGGTCTTCTTTATCCAAAACCCTTCCTGCAACTTTATCATCCTCCTAAAACTTCAGTTCTATGCCCTTCCTTTCATTGCCAAACTTTCTAACCCGAAGTACTGTCTGTATTTTTTGTTTTCATTCATTCAAAAAGCATTTATTGATTGTCTAACACATGTTAAGTACTCTTCTAGCCATTGGGGATATAGTAATGAACAAAATAGACAAAACTCCTGCCCCCATGGAGTTTATATTCTACTAGGAGAGATAGGTAATAAAAAGATAAGTAAGTATTATGGCATATTATAGGAGTTGACAAATTTTCTGTAAAGAATCACGGTGAATATTTTAGGTTTTGCAGGCCATACAGTCTCTGTTGCAATTACTCAACTCTGCTGTTGTACCGTGAAAGCAGCCCTAGACAATATGTAAACAAATGGACATGCCGTGTTCCAATAAATCTTTATACTTTAGAATACTGAAATTTGAATTTCATGTAATTTTATAATTTTCATGTGTCAAAAAATAGTCTTTTGATTTATTTCAACCATTTAAAAATATAAAGCCATTCTTAGTGTGTGAGCTATACAAAAACATATGGTGGGCTGGATTTGCCAAAAGGCCATGGTTTTTTGTCCCCTGGTGTATTGAATAGTGATAAGTGCAAGGAGAAAACTAAGCAGGAAAGGATGATATTAAATGTTTTGGAAGAGGGTGAGTGTTTGAAATTTTAGATAGGGTGGTCAGGGAAGTCTTCAGTGAGAAGGTAATTTTTTAGTAGAGAACTGAGAAAAAAGAGCATTCCAAATAGAAGGAATAGCAAGTGCAAAGGCCCTGGCTGTTTAAAGATTGGCAAAAAGACCAGGCGCGGTGGATCACGCCTGTAATCCTAGCACTCTGGGAGGGTGAGATGGGAGGATCACTTGAGCTCAGGAGTCTGAGACCAGCCTGAGCAAGAGTGTGACCCCGTCTCTACTAAAAATGGAAAAATTAGTGTGGTTCTGGCTGCTCGGGAAGCTGAAGCAGGAGGATTGCTTGAGCCTGGGAGTTTGAGGTTGCAGTGAGCTATGATGATGCCACTGCACTATAACCTGGTAGACAAGAACAAGACTCTGTCTCAAAAAAAATAAAGTAAAATAAAGAATGGCAAACAGACCAGTGTGGCCAGAGCAGAGGGAACATTAGGGGAAGTAGGAGGTGTGATCAGGGAAGTAGTGGTGTCTTAGTTCGTTTTGTGTTGCTATAACAGAATACCTGAAACTGGGTAATTTATAAAGAAAAGAGATTTATTTAGCTCACGGTTCTGCAGGCTAGGAAGTTCAACAGGTACGGTGCTGGCATCTGCTTGGCTTCTGGTGAAGGCTTTTGTGCTGGGCCAAAACATGGTGAAAGGTCAAAGGGGAAGCAGACATGTATGAAGAGAAAAAACCCAAAGGCAGTCCTGATTTTATAACAACTCACTCTCCTGGGAACTAATCCATCCCCGTGAAAACTAACTCATTCTTATGAGAATGAGAACTCACTACTGCAAGAACAGCACTAAGCCATTCATGAGGGATCTTCCCCCATGACCCAAACGGTTCCCACTAGGCCCCACCTCACAACACTGGCCACACTGGGGATCAAATTTCAACATGAGTTTTGTTGGGGACAAACCATAGCAAGTGGGGAAATAGATCATGTAAGAAAGTCATTGTATGGACACTATTTGGGTGATTGGCACATTTATAGCCCTGACTCAAGCTATGTATCTAAAACATCAGTACCCCTTTAAATTTCTGAAATAAAAAAGGTTAAAATAAAAGAAAGGCATTGTAGTTCACAGTAAAGATTTATGATATTAACTTTAAGTGAGATGGGGAGCCATTGGAGGGTTTTGAGCAGAGGAATGACACGATCTGTTTTGTATTTTAATAGGATCACTCTAGCTGCTGTGTTGAAGATAGTGGGGTAAAAGTGTAGAAGCAGGGAGACCAGTTAGGAGGCCATTGAAGTAATCTGCGAGAGAGATGATGGTGGTGTGGACCAGGGTGGAGGCAATGTGGGTGGTAAGAAGTGGTCAGATTCTGGAGAGATTAAAAAAGGAAAGCTGACAGGATTCAGTGACATACCAGATGTAGGATAGAAGAGAAAGGAGAGACAAGGATGAGTGTAAGGTTTTTGGCCTCACTACCTACTCCTCTCTTGATGATTTTTGCATCTATAATTCTATAAACTACTCTTTGAAAATT